GACTTGGCAGGAGAAAAGCCATTGGAGTCACCATGCGATATTAATTGTAAGGATATCATATTACTATCTAATATCCTATCCACATAGGTTTCTTATCTTTTGAACGTCAATATCTCCTTTTTCAGATAATGATTTATCCAACTGTCAATCTCAAGTTGTGCTGCCAAAATTAGAAAACCACGTGACACTTTCAAAGAGGTCATCAAACTGTTCAGCAATTTCAGCAGAGGATGCTGGTTACTGTAAGAATATCATGTTGCGATCTAATCTCCTATCCACATAGATTTTTTTCCGTTGAACTTCAGTATCTGCTCTTTCAGATACTGATTCATCCAACAATCAGTCTCAACTTGTGCTGCCAAAATTAGAAAACCGCATGACAATTCCAAACAATTCATCAAATAGCTCATCGGTTTCAACAAGTAAGACGATGCTTGAAGATGATAAAATGAACTTTGGTTTAATCTCTTGTAGAGTTCCAGTTATCAGAACAACCACGTGAAATTCATAATTCAGTCAATACATCTGTCCAGAATTCGAATGAAGTGCAATTTAGCAGTAATAATGGAAACAAGTCAAATGTCGTTCCTGTAGGGGACGAAACGTTTCAAGAACTAGGCGGTATTTATCTTAACAAACCCTTGCTTTATAATAACCTTTTTTGTTGCATTTTATTTCGTTAAGCTGACCGACTTATTGAGATTGAGCGTTCTGGTAATGAAAATAGTTGTGACGAATATTTTATAAACAACTGTATATTTGCTGGATCTGTTTTAGCTGCCTGTATAGATCGACCTAATGAAATAACAAGTAAGTTGTAAAACTGAAGCAATATGAAGAATTGGTCTTCATTCACTGTCAGTTCTTTCATCAATATGACAATCAACCTCGAACGGCGATGAAAATACATCACCGACAGTTTATTTTCTATTGCCACTTCTAATCAATTTTTGATCTAGTATGTTTGTTCTAAAACAAATCCTACATCCACAAAACATATTTTAGATGAGCCGACCGACATACCACAAAGTTTTCCTCCTAGTTGCTATTTCCCATCTTCCTTTAATCGTCCCGTGCGCACATCAAACTTTTCAACGCAAGTTGAGTACGGTAGCACAACGAACAGAGGAATACCACGAGATGAAAGAAAACCAGGTACGGACTGTCTGAGAATGAAAGTGACTACATCTAGTTTTGAAAAATTGATTCTAGTGGTTAATCGACCAATGGCGCAAGATGAATTAAATAAACTTGCACTATTGCTCAATTGTACTGGGAACAAACCGTTTGAATTGGCAACACAATTAAAGCTGGATCAAATTCGTATAAATACAATTAAAAATTTTGTAGAACAGATTGAGAGCTACTCAAAAGCAACGGTGGCCATGCATGAAGTACTGAGATGTTGGCGAGAACAGTATGCAGATAAAGCATCATGCATCAAACTATTTGATGCATTAATTCGAGCTGATGAAGTAGACGTGGCACTACATTTAAGAAAGTATGTTGAGAAGTCATTTCGTAATTAGTTGTTGCATGCAATATGTTTTTTGTAACAAAAAAGTGAGACATTTATTTCAAAACAATCGTCAGGTTTTTGTAAATAAAATGAAGAAGAAATTTTGCACGTTTTCCTATTAAATGCTGCTCGTAAAATTGTCTATCAAGTCATGTAGTTTTAATATCTATCAACAGTCTCTTGAATAGAAAATAAATAAACCCAGAAAAGGAATATCCTAAACTTTTGTCGTTGACTCTACTTCTACTGTTTATTTATCACCTGGAAATATTGTCAAATCCGACAGTTTGTCAAAATAAGACTGACGTAACTTATATCAGTAGGCTGCGACAGAAAAACGTAGGACATATGCAGTCATTATGATCGTTAGAATAAATATTTTACAGCTTTACTGGTTTGTTTAAGTTTTTTGAAGAATGACAATGTAAGAAAAGAGGTTTTTAGCGATCATCGCATTAGAAAACAGGCATTAAAAAAGGTACTATGTCAATTCGTCGCACGTCTTTTCGTAGAGGATACTTCGTTGCGGTCATTTAATCGGCGAGCTTTCCATCGCACGGACATTTAGTCGCATCACTTCTGTCGCACAATTTGTTTTAACATAATTTTTGAACGATAAAAGGAACATGACGATAGTGGTGCGGGCAATATTAGATAAATTAGGTTTCTTCATACTATCTATTGTCTGAATTGTGGTTCATTGTTTATAGATATTGATGAGGCAAAGAATGTTAGTGTGGAAACCATAGGTTCATGTCCGCAG